AAATGTGGTGTGGGTGTGATTCATTTCCTTTCTCTTGTAAGTGGTGGTCTTGCTCACTCTAGTGCCGCACTTACTGGGCCCAGACTTTATATGTGATATTGAGGAGGCTTATCCCTCGGAAAGAGGAGTAGATTGTGGTGCCCCCCTTTTTGTGGGTTGCATAGAGTATGCATGGGTTCCAATCGTCGGGACCTTGTTGAAAGGCGATAATTCTTCATAGGTAGCTTGAAATTCCGTTTCGCTGTATTTTTTTATTGAGTTGCTGATGAGTGCTCACAGAGAGCAGGAATACGAGCGGGAAATGTTTGACAGTATGTTGTGATTTTGGCTTCGCGGCGTCTAATTTATGTTGTGCTTGTTGTCCTTGTTGCTCTGAGGTGGGTGCGTGTCTTCGTTGCGGCAGAATGGTGATAGGTTTGCGGAGCCTACACGTATCTGGAATACGCTAGCCATGTCTCTCATGCATCACAACAGGGTAGATCCGGATAAAAATTGACGAGAGTTGTTGTGTTTTCACTATTTTTGTATAATAATTAAATGCATAAAGTAATAATATAACATTGCGTACGGCTAGGGCTCGATTAATGTCCAAAAGTTATGGAAAATATATTACGATTGCCTCTCGGCAAGGAATGTCCACCGTATTTCGTGTGTATTTCGGACATGGAATAAAAAATCATAGGTCCTTTCCTCCATCTCTTGGTAGAATATCAAGACTTGCACCACAAGTTGGACATATATAAGTTAAATATCTAAGAATTTAGATGAGTTAATGCTGAAAATATTTGTGAAATCAATTAAAAATTAATATTTTAATGTGAGTCTCAATCTGTGGGATCTCAAATGATTACAGAGCAGAGTTGCCAACTGTTTATGTATAAATATAGGGTAATCTAAATAAGGAAACGAGCATGATTTGAGTGAAGATATAGTGGAAGACATCGCTGAAGAGAGTCTTAGCAGTGCACTTATTTTTAAAATTTTTGTCAGGAATATTATTCATTTCATTGCATTCTTAAATCATCAAAGTTAACAAGGAAAAAATAATAATTTTTCATATTTGAGCAGCTTATATGTTTTTTTTGTTGGGAAAGTAGTAATTTGTGCTTAGGCAAAACAACATCTGCATGGACTGCTATGTGAAAATTAGAATTTGTTGAAATCGAGCTGCGTGAGCTTAAAAAATTTTAATTCACCAAAAAAAAATTTATATGAAATTATTATAGTTATATAGCACATATACATACATATTATATACTCGATTAGTGTTCTTCGACAATCACGTGAGACCGTCACCGAATTGCGTCAGAATTGATTTAAATTCGTGCTATCGTCGTCAAGCAAACAAATCACAACTAATTGCAATGTACGACAGGCCATCACAGCTCAAAAAACAAACATACAAACATGCATAGTTGCTTAGGGATAAACATGCATCAGTATGATGGTATGGTATTACAATTACAACAACATTACAATAGTAACATATTATAACGGCTTTGTGACAATTATCAATAGAGAGCCAAAGAGGTTCTACACACGTGCATGTGTATGTGTTTGTATGTATGTGTGTGTGTAACAACAATTGCTATACGCCACTTATCTCTCCACTTGAAAGTTGCTGTTGTTGTTGTTGTTGTTGTTGTCGCGTATACGCCACCGGTGATTAAATTTTCCAGTTGACAAAGCGCGTCAGTGACGAAATGCGATACCGATGAAATCGTAGCGACGCGAACCAGCGCGAGTACACCCACAGCTATGGGCCAAAGCCATTACAGGTGCGAATGGAGATGTGTGTGTTTGTGTATGTTTGTATTTTATATTTATAGTTATATAAGTTTCGGCACGTAGCAATTGCTACATACATGCGTACATACATATTCCTACATACGTATTTGTATGTATGGATTAATGCATGTGCCGTTGCATATTTTTAGGCGTTTAAACGCATTTTGAATTGGAATTAGTATATGAATTTTGGATGTATGTGTATGTGTGCATATGGTTTTATAACCATGTGCTCCTTTCTGTAGGAAGTTTGTACGCTTTGTTCGAATAAAGTATTTGTGGGCCTGAGTGCGCTGTATGTAGTTAGACCTAAGAGTTCAAGCAAAGTTGATTTTTCGGATAGGAAAAAGCATATACGCATTAAGGTAACAAGTCAAAGTAGATCCTCCTTAAATCGATCTTTCCTTTTATCAAAAGACCGGAGTGGAAGTCTTCCTCTTCTCATACAGGTATCGTATCGAAAAGCTGTTGAGCGGTAGTATTTTTGCTCATTGAACTTTGTGCGACGAGAGTGGATTTTATTTTTCAATTGCACTGCGTGGGTGTACCGTGTCAATATTTGTACCTTGGAGAAAGCGCTCATCTGAAACACAGCATGCAGGTCCTTCATCTTTTACAATTTGATCGATTTGCTTTCGTACTCTTCGTGCAGTGGACAGCTAAGCAGTTTGATGAATTTTTATGCGCTGTATAAATGTTTTCAGATGCCCGTATTAATTTTTTCATCAAAATTAAATTCTCCGGTTGATGGATCAAATGCCACTCTGGAGTTAAAATGACATGATTCTAACACAGGGGCAAGGAATACTTTATAATAACCTAACCAATACCCTTAGTAGGCGTTATTGGTTACATCGTTTTCTTTTCTCCTTAGAGAGCTTTTACTAAAATGAAAAAAAGCTTTAAAATATATGGCCTCAGTTCGAGCTCCGGATGAGCGGTAGTACTCAGGGCCTGTACTTTCTCCAAAAGCCAATATCAATTTTGCACATCTTCACAAGGGAACACAAGTATATGTCGTTATTGCTAGCTTACACTCGTCGCCCTGATGGCGGTGATGACACCATTTTTCTGATGGCAACGACGGTCCGCTGCCCCTCCCAAATTATAGGGATCTCAATAAATATCAAGTAAAAAGCGGTTTTTAAGACAACAAGATTATGATTTAGAACTGATTTCCGGCAAGTGACCCCCGCTGCGCAACTCTCGAACAAATTTTACACCAATTGGGGCCATATGTCAGCAGTAATCCGCTGCATGGGCTATTGATCGATGTCTCCTTCCGCATCTAGAGCACACCAAACAATGATTTTTTGAGGATTTAACGACTTGAGGATGACGCTTGTGGATTGTCATCGCCCCCAATGCGACTATTTTTGTATATTCGTGTATTCTTGCTTCTCTCTGGAATTTAATTTCAAAATTCGATAATACAAAATTTCAGTTTTAAATCTCGACGCAAAAAATTGGTAAATTTCATTGCTTGAAAAAATTTCTTGCGAAAATTTCTTGTGATCGATAGCCATCTCGTTTCGAGTCTATTCCACGAACATGCGTTGCGGTTGATTCGTTTGCCATCAGTTCTTTCGCGAATTGGATTATGTTACCCCGCATTGTACTAAAACCTTTCGAAAAAATCTTTCCTAAAGTGGATGAGCGCAGCTCCAATTTTTTCGTGCCATGGCGAACGGATTCATTTGGCTCTATCTCGATACCTTGCTTTACAGTAGTAAGAGCTTCTCTCCTCTGAGAATACGCATTATCTACCACCCATGGATGCTCAAATTATCAAATCCGCTGGGCAATTTTGTCGACCCAATATTGGACTCAGGCCGCGATGCGTCTCGTGAACTGAACGAATATTATGGTAATGGTGTTGTTGTTGTTGTATCGGTTCAGTAGCCCCGCTTAGGCACAGGTTTGATTAGTCTAAGTCGCCGAGGTCATCTAATGGTTGGTCCAGGAAAGGAGCTGTTTCGACGAGGTTGGACCAAAGTTAGAGGAGGGTTAGATGAGTTGGTTTAAGAGGGCATGTGAAGAGGTGGTTACTGTCGTGCGAAGACTCTCCACTTGCAGCGCATACGTTGGGTATGCTGGGGTCTAGTCTGGATAAGTAGGAGTTTAACCTGCTACAATATCCAGATCTGAGTTGTGTCATTTCGGCGACCTAACCCCGTTTAGGTAACTTTAGTCTAAGTTCGCCAATGGAGCAACACCTTGCAGCTAAGTTGCTCCAAATCCTTCTGATCAGGGTTGGTGTAGAAACCAACCCTGGATCGACGGAATATTTCTGCTGCGTGTGTCACAGAAGACTCCACCTTCCCTCGACCTCGTTTAGATGCACCCAGTGCAATGGTTGGAGTCAACTTAAGACCTGCTCAGGCCTTAAGACCCACAGGGGATGGATCACGAGTTATGTGGCCTCATGCTGTCAACGTCCAACCAGTGCCCTCAGCACCTGTACTCACTCTGGGTAATCAGCAGACCGTCTCACGGAGCTTCCCGCAGCATGATTCCCTCCAACCTCCACCCCCATCCCTACCCACAACCAGCTCCTCATCCTCCCACCGTAAGAGGGCTACCCAGCAGCTCCTAGTCCCCCGCACTGTCAAAAAAAAAAAAAAAATTATTATGGTAATGAATTTACACGGTTTGCCATCGTTGGTTCGACGTAAATCTGTTATGAATGGAATGACAGTTAACATTAAGACAAACTCGCCAAAATTCCCTCCCCATTTACTTACCATCGCTTTTAATAATATGTCCGCTATACAATGCTCCGCCCTGTGCAAATTTAGCTCTGCCCTACCTGTTTTGAATTTCATATTGACACATTGATTAAAATGTTTATCAAATGACAATTAAGTGCATCTCCGGCCGAGCTTATCGCTTTTCGCTTTAATTTCTAATAACATTTATTAAATTTTTCAATGAAGAGCAACAACAAAAATTTTTTTTTGAATAGATTTATTTGATTTATTCGTGTCATAATCGCATATTAATGTTAGTTTTGTGGAAATGTGGGCTGAGTTTTGTGTCTCAATTGGAAAAGTTTTTTTTTAAGAAATTTTTTTTTTAATAAATCATTAGCGTCTGCTCTTGAGTTGCGTGCGGGGTTTGTAAAATGGATAATGTGATGTTTTATGCCTGAAAATACTTAACCATCTAGTTCTTTACTTGAGTGAACAAATCAATTTTTATAATTTTTTTGCTCTAAAGCAAATTCTTCTTTCTAAATCCAACTCATTTTTACTCTAATTCTGCTGTAACAAGAAATTTTTTCCATTATCATGAAACCTACAATCACCTATAAACACTGAAATTTCACCTGCATCAACACCACTGCTTTTTCTATACAAGAACATTTATGATTATTTAACATTTTTTTTAGTTAAAGTCTACAAGTCTGACTTCTCAGTTACATTTTGTGCGCTTTCGCCTCGCTACTAATCCGCATTTCACTCAAAAATTGTTGTCGAATGCTTCTTCTTCCTCCTGCTCTTCGATAACCGGTTGTTCTTCCTCTTCTTCCAATTCCTCCTCTACAACTTCATCCTCAACACGTTCACCAATTATGATTTCCTCCGCAAGTTGATACAGTTGACGCATGTCCTGTTGGCAGAGCAGAAAATTAAAGTAGGAGAAAATTATTTAATGCTCTCTTTGTTTTTATTTTTATTTTTATTTTTATTTTTCTTCTTCACTTCTTATGAGTTCTCCCACTCACCGATGCCTTTTGTAGTTGTAATATCTTTTCATCATGATAACGTAATTGCTCAAATTGTGCTTTGGAGATGAGATAACCGCGTTCAACGTCATAATCCATTTCTTCGTCCAACTCAGCGGCATGCCGTTGCTTCGACTCACTAATTGTGCTACCCTGTTCGTAGATTTCCGATTCGGTAGATACATCGGAGGCATCATCTAAATATTTACGTCGTTGTCGCTCTTCCCGTTCGCGTTCGTACATTTCTTTAGCCATTTCTTTATTTATGCTTTGATCGAAGAGTCCATCACCCGTTTCGGCTTGTACGATGTCTTGCACGTGTTTTTGAATGACGGCCTAGAGGGGAAGTGGGGAAATGTGCGCTTATTACTTTGGTAAGTTTTTGAAAAAGTTCTAATTTTTTAATTTTTAGTTTTTAATTTCGTACTCACCGTTTTCTCAGCCAATTCTTTGCCGAGTTTGGCGTCTTTAGCTTCGGTTTTTTGTTTAGCACCCTCTTCTAATTGTTGTACAATACGTTGCTCGGCTTCACGGAACTTTTTCCTGAAAGATAGAATGTGTTGGTTAGGGCTGAAATATACAAATATCCATGGATCCAAGGCCCGAGAATTTTCGTGGTCTAATGTTTATGGAAAATCGTTATTCCTAGATCCGTCTGATTAAGTGACTGAGAAATTTGTCTTGGGAGTTCTTGATGTATCTTTGCTTCAGGCTCAGGAGGGAAACCTCAAAAGAGCCGGTGATGTGGAATATATAACCAATGAAACGATTTTCGACCGAGCACCTTCTCCAATTTGTGATTTTGCGTCTTGTTGTTTTTCCAACAAATGAGGGGACCTACAGTTTATACTAAACCGCCTCCGAACGGCCGAAAGTTTCTTATGAGAAGCCTTATATCATGTCAGAAATATATTCGGAGGGGTTGACATTCCCTGCCGAGAGGCGATCGCAAAGTGAAAATTTAAATAATTTTTTTTTTTTTTTTAAATATTCTCTAACTCTTTTGGCTGTTAGGACGTCAACAGGATTTGAAGCCAAGTCTTCCGAATGGAAGAAGTACGCATATGGAATATATTTAGAGATAAGTTATAGAGGTTTTTTTTGTCGTTGGGATCAAAAACGTTTGTTGCCGAAAGCTCAAATTAAGATAGAGCTGATCTATTTGGCATTTTACGTTCGTATTTCGGATTATTATATCTTCGAGCTTGCGTCCAACAGTTCCTTTTCCACCATAACACTTTCTCAAGGCCACTGGAGGAAAAACTTGATTATTTTCCCCGAGAAGGATAGAAGAGTATTCTATAATTAAATTCAAAGGTTCACAATTTAGTCGCTAGGAAATGCAATGTACCAATTGTTTCTGGATATGCGAGGCCTATCAAGGAGGACTGCCAAAAGTCACTTCACTCCCAAGATCAAAGCTCTCATAGGTAGTGAGAGATATGACCGAGCAATGTCCGAAGAGAATTCACTCTGTGAGGTTAGGGATTTTATTGAATCCCACTGCCGTAGTTGTTTGGAAGATGAGATGAAAACTGCACTTTATTACAAAGTATGCTGCGGTTTTAAGACTGAAGTTCGAAGGAGTGTGCAGACATTGACATTAAGAAAATTTGTTGATTTTGAATATTCAATAAGCGATAAACTAAATGAAAGGTGTTCTCACCTATAGGATATTTCTTAGGCTTAGTGGCATCCGTTATGATGCGTGTCTTATGCGTCTATGTGGGACTAGGCACTTCCCCATAACTAAGTCTAAGCTTCCAGTCTAGCTCCTTCCTTTTTCTTTCATTTTTTAGTTTACTCGGTCCGCATATGTTACGAAAACTCTTTTCTACATTTAATAAATTGAATCTTACCTCGCACGCACAATATTTAATATATCCAATTTATCCGATGTGAACGGCGTGGGCACACGTAAAGAGCGTTCTTTCATTTTGGCGCGCTCTTCTTCGAGGAAACGTTTTAAATCTTGTTCACATTCACGCCAATCTTCATTGTCGATGCTGTAGGCAAAAAGGGAATAAGTTTAAAATGAATTAAATATAGAATTATTTAGTAAAAATGAAATGTATTACATTAATGATTCGATAGTGTGACGTCAGCAAAAAAACAGCTGATTGGCAAAAAATTTTAACCGTGAACTACAGTACTGTGCCAGACATAATCTCTGCTTGTCATCATCGTTGGAAAATAGTAGCTCAAATTTCTAAGAGTGGCAAATAGCTCAGAGACATTTGATTTACTGCAATCTCTTTATCAGTTGTTATAATTAGAATTATCGCCAACTGACACAAAGTTCTATGAGCGGTTCCTTTTAATTTATTAAACAAATGGTTAAAGGCACATATTTTAATGCTAATACTAAAGTAAAACAAAGGAGGATAAAGTTCGTTTGGATCAAAATCTTTTTTCAGACTTGTGATTTTCAATGAGGCAATACTTTTTTCGGAATTGATCTTTATGATAGCGGTTACTTGGTTAGCCATATCTTAGTCAATAGATTTAGTCTGGAAGGTGTGGTTCGATCGACATATGGTACTCGGCTTCATACCTCGTTTGCTCTGATGAATTATGCGTATTCTCAAAAACGCCGTGCAGTGTTTCCCGATGTTATTGCTGTGAAACAAAGTATCGAGGAAGACCTGAATGAATCCATCCGCCATGGCTTGAAAAACTTGGAGCTGTGTCCATCCAATTTAGGGAAGATTTTTGGAAAAGATTTTAGTACATATGAGGGGTTACATAATCCAACTCGTGCAAGAATTGAAACCGAACGACCATCAAACGCATCGCACGTTTGCTGTTGGTTAACGCCGCAAGCTCTGACATCATCAAAAAGTTACGGTTTGGTGGGCTCTATGGGCAGAGGAATTCATTGGTCCATATTTCTTTAGAAATTAAGTCGGCAGTGAATAATGACTTTTTCGTTGCTGAATTGGAGGGTGTGTCTATGAAAGATCTTTCGTTTTAACCATTTTTCGTTAAGTTATGCAGAGTCGCCTTTCTACGCAGATAAACTCGAAACGATTGAGGCCTTGGAGGGGAACGGTCGGCGCATTTTTGCTGACATACGCACTCAATTACAGCGAAAAGTGGTCGAAAAGTCTCTCGGGTGGAAATTTTTTCGGTTTCCTATTTGTTTACATATGAAACTGCTTATCGCCTCACCTCCCTCTTTATTATATCAGAGACCAATTAAGCGTTTGGAGATATAAAGCTATCTATGCATTATCTGAACAAACCTAAAATACCCTATGCACAGAGCGTAGCCGTGTGAGTACATAAATGCAAATGAGAGCTTTATATTTAGCAGTTTGTTGTCTGTCTTAAAAACGGTAGTAAACGTGCCATGCTTAATCCTAGCTGTAGCAGGGAAAATGAACATGAATATAGACACAAGAAAAAAAATTATAATAACAAGAGAGAAAGAGAGAAAGAGAGTTAACAATCAGCTGTTGTTCCAGTTAGAGCGTTGCGTACGCGTCTTATTTGCGCTTTAGCGTGAACGTGCAGCATTATATGCCTTAGGGCGTCTTATTTACATGTTAAAATTATTAGTTGCTTTCTTTTGTATAAAATTTCATTTGAAAAAAGACACGCTAAGTACATTTCGAAGTCTGTGATACATATATTAACCAAAAGGTTTAAGGGTTGCGTTTAAATGTGGAAAATCTCAAAGTAAGCACACAGAGTGTCTCGGTTGAACTTAATTTGAGCTTTCACTTAGGCTGTTATGCATTTTTTCATTCTCCCATTCTTTATAACAATATTCTTAGTTTTGCTATTAATTATTTTCTGTTGCTATTTACCGCAATAATTCCATGCCACGTTCTGCATCTTCGGCCTTGTAACGCTCCTCGAGTTCATGTTGCTCTTTTCTACGCTCTTTTATCATCTCAACACGTTGTTGTTCCTCCTCCACATATTTTTGTCGTTCACGTTCCCATTTGGAGCCTTGCGCTTTCAAACGTTCGGCATTTCGTTCGCGGTTGGTTTTGAGCTGTATTTATGTGGAAATTTTTTGAATACAAATAACTTTAAAGAAAGTGAAATATTTTTAAACTCACCTTCGAACGCTCCTTTTGGATTTCCTTATTCGCAATTTTATTCACAACGAAAATGGGATCATCTGCGAGTTCTTCTGGTATTTCATCCGTCTTGCCCTCTATGATTAAGAGTCGTTCACGTTCGACTTCTCTGAGCTATGTTAATAATATTAGTAAATACATTAAAAATAATTTCAGATAATTTTGTTTCAATTTATTATGTTTTAATTTATTTTGGTTATTTTATTTTTATTGTATGTACATATGCTTCATTTTATTTTATTTTATTTATTTTTTTTTTTATTGAGAGGAAAAATTTTTTTATTGAAAAAAAGTGTAAAAAGTAAGTCATTCAAAGTATTGTTCGTCGGAAGTGACTACTTTTGCACATCTTTCTGGTAATCACTGAATAGCTAACTTTAATAAATTAGTCTTCTCTGTTCTCGATACCCTCAATATTATTAGGGTGTGTGTTGAATTTTAAAAGTGTAAATAGAAAGAGGTTGATAAATATCGAAATGTTTTTAGCAAATTATATTGGAAATGTTATATAATATACTCGTACATATTTGTTTTTGGAATAGAAATCCCACGTGGAAGCGAGTGAACAGAGGAATAATGCAATTTGACCAAGGGAATGAATTACGCGTAAGTAAAAGTCGGTCAAATAGGTGATCGTTTAAGTCGACATCGGAGTACTTTCTCAAGCTTTTCAAAAATTATAGATAGTTATCGCCAATGGAAGGGAGGACTAACCGCAATATTCAGCTGCTAGCGACGAATAACATCATGAGTTGCAGACAAATAAAGGCCGCATTAGGGCTCACTATTATGTAGTAACAGGTTAAGCAAGTAATGAAAGTAAATAGTTTCCAAACCGCGTATTAGACAACGACACAGACATGCCGGTATTGCGTTCTACGACAAATACAAATTTTGGTATGCGGAATTTGAGAATGTAATTTTTAGTGATGAGAAAAAGTTTAATTTGTATGGACCTGATGGTCATGATAAGACTACGACATCACAGGCAGACTCGTTATAGATGAAATAATGGCGATGGATCAATCATGGTACGGATGGTTTGCCTTAGGTCCAGATCTTAATGCCATTAAGATTGTTCGGGATATACCCTCGGCGTAAATATACGCACATGGCAGGTAGCATGGTGTCGTTAAACAGGCAACCCGACAGAAATTAGTTAACTTTATGTCTCGCAGTCTAAAACTAGTGAAGATCCATAAATGAAACCCCATTCTATATTGACAATATTTTTTTCTTACTCTTATTTTAAAGTAATTTTCCACATATAAATATTTTCTATGAAAAATTTGACATACCCTTGAATTTTGTTTTGTATAAAATACATATGAATTATGTATATTTTCCTTTTTTCTTTTAGTATCAATTAATTTATATTAACAACAACATTATATACGATTTGTATTTAATTGAAAATATTTTATTTTATTGATTTTATTGTATTTTATTCTGTTTTATGAAATTGGATTAAATTTTACTTTATTTTTTATTTTTTATTATTTTGTATTAATTTATTTTATTTTAATTTACCTAATTTTATTTTACTGTCTTTTATTTTGTTTTATTTGGCTTAATTTTTTATTTGCTTTAAGTTATTTCATTTTTAATTCTTTTACTTTTTATTTTATTTTGGCTTATTTCAATTTGTTTTATATTATATTATATTATTTTTCTTTACTTCATTTATTTTATTAAACTTATTTTATTTTTTTGTTTTGTTTTAATTTCCTTTATTTTATATTGTTTAATTTGTTATTATACTAATATTTATTTAAATTAATTTAATTTAATTTTTTTAAATTTTTTTTTAGCATTGCGTATTACCACTCGGAAGGCCTGAGCTTAAATCCATCCCTCGAACCCACATAAAACCGAAATGGTGCTATTTACCAGGAGGTACAAACCGCATGCCATTAAACCACCCAAACTTTAGAGCGTGGAGATTACTCTTTCCCCCGAAATCAAATGCATTGGCATAATCTTAGATAGCAAACCAGACTGTGAACCGGAACACGGCAGAAAGATAAAGGAATGCTTTAACTGCACTCTTCGCGATAGCGTTAGGAAAAAGATGGGCTTTAAGACCAAGTATCGTCCATTGGATATATACATCGGTAGTTAGACCAATTCTATTCTATGTGGTCACCGTCTGTTGACCGGCACTCGCGAAAATCGCCTTCAGGAGCAAATTACAGAGAGTTCAACGATCGGCGTCCATCCTGATAACGGGAGCTTTGCCATCAACTCCCTTGAAAGCACTGCTGACTCTTCTCAACCTCCTTCCCCTAGACCTATACGGGAAACTACAAGCGGATTGTAACGCAATAAGATTGAATGCAACTCAACCTTGGAATAATTGCAGTATAGGACATACTAAAATATTATCTCTTACAGAAATGACGAAGAAGCGGCACTACATCACATCCAGTGCATGCTTCGAAAATCTTTTCTCCACAAGAATCCCAAACAGATGCGAGTGCTAAAACACCAACGCCCTGACCAAGAATCAATCTTCACAGACGACTCGCAGCTCGTTGGGACGGTGGATTGCGGAGTATATTCTCCCGTGCTTTCAGTAAGCATGAGCATGATAATACCGGATCATTGCAGCGTTTTTCAGTCGGAACTCTACGCATTGCACAAATCTACGGGAGCAGGAAAATCAGTAACAATCTACCCTGATAGTCAGGCTGGAATCAGATCTCTTCAATATAACGGTAAGACGTCAAAAGTGGCCTTAGACTTTAGAAACACTCTCAATAAACTCTCAACGAAGTACAGTTCTGCCGTGGTCTGGGTACCTGAACACCGAGATATTCCAGCAATTGCATGGCAGATGGACTCCAACTTCGGGGGAATGGTTCGATCATTTGAGAAGGTGAAGGCAGGAGCCTCAGCGGTATCACAACAGGCCTATTGGCCTAAGTGTTCTGGGGTTTTTGTCCAGCAGCCACATCAACTCAACTCAACTTTCACAACTCGACAGGGAAAGTCAATCCCTCCGTTTGTATTTATGACAAGAAATAAGGCTCCTAATAAAAAAAACCATCAGCCGTTCGGAAGTGGCTTAGTATAAACTGTATATCCCTCTTTTTGTTGGAAAAACAACCAGACGAAGCAGATGGGGCTCGGCCGGAAATCGCTTCAGCGAGTACAAGACACCAATTATTACACACAATTTATTATATTATATTCTATTTTTATTTATTTTTACTTTTTATTAGTTTATTTAATTTTTTTTTGAATTTTATTTTATTCCATATTATTCCATTTAATTTTTTCTTTTATTTAATTTAATTTAAAAGATCTTAATTTAAACTGATTTAATTTAATTATAAATTTTTTTAAATTTAAATTTATATTTTAGTTTTATTTCGAAGTAACTCAGTAAGCTCACTCAGCTACCGCCGGCTGTCACGGTTTATTTTTAAACTCTCTTTCAACAATTTCATGTCAAGCACCAATTGAATATAAAGGAAGAAGCGTTAAATATAACGGCTTGTAGAATTCTTGTGGCTCATGGAATGCCATTTACATAATTTTAAATATACAAACAATGTTGAAATGCCCAAAAGTTTGACTTGAAAATATTACGAGAACTTTGCACAGCATTCAAATGAGACTGACTCAGATTTAATTCGCCAAAGTGAAAGTAGTATCATTGAAAAATATTTATCAATTAAATTAATTGTTCGTGTTGTGTTTGAGATTAATGAAAACTATTATTTTTAATGTGTGATGCTTAATTATTATTTTTTTTTTTAATTTCGCACTAGAATCCATTTTAAATTGAATTGTCCGTCGTTAGAGTGTATACACAATTATGTACAAACATAACTCACCGCTCTTGCGTTTATGCGACGTTCTAACTGTATGCGACTCTCCTCCTCCAATCGTTGACGCAACTCGCTCATGAATTTGTGATCTGTCAGACGCACCACATTTGTGCCAATTAAGCGTTCCAGAGCGGCGCTAATGCGTGGTAAATTGAAACTGCAAAGAAAAAAGTCAAACAAAATAGAAATTTAATTTTATTTAATTATTAAAGTTATACGAAATACAAACGCTGCTTCAATATTAAATGTGTGACAGTGACTTTTTTGCAATATTTACTCGTTACTTTCCTTCGTTGAAATCAATTCGCTTGCCTTTGCCATATTTTTGTGTGCAACATTTCGTGGCTACGCTTACATTCTAACTGTTTACGTGTCGCAATTTTGCAAAATTTTTTATGACTTTTACATATTAAGTTATGGTAACAGTAAACCGGCTAAATAATAAAGGAAAATAAATAAATAAATAAATATAATGAATGTGTACCTTGAAAGCGCATGCCGCCGTTCTAATAAAATTGACAAAAACTTTTTCTATGATAGTTTCGGGTTACTACCTTTAACACGTGGTTTTGTTGTTGGGTTACGTTGACAATCGTTTTCTATGACTCTTTATTTATGGGAATTTTTCATGAACTCACGTATTGTCTAACCAAAAATTTGCATGCATATGTCCTCATATACGAGTGCTTACATACACATGTACACCTATGTAAATTCATTTGAACCCAACAAACTATTCTGGTTGGTAAGTAATTTTGTTGTGTTTTGATATGAAACAAAGTAGATACTTAAGAAAATCACCAAAAATATTTTTCAACTTAAGTCGCAGATTAATCTCAACTCCCTGCTTATGATTCAAAAGTTTTTCAGAATATCGTCAGTTATACTTGTACTGAAAGTGAAGTGAAGTGTGAATTTAGTGATATATACATATATGTATATATATTTCCCTCCGAACTTATGAGGAGCTATGATTTTCATATCAGAAATACACTCGGAGGGCTAGACTGCTTCTGTCGAGGTGCGACCGCAATTAGAATAACTTTGAATGTTGGTCGAACCACGACGATCAATTGGGGGTAGGCAATGCTTACTCTTCTGCTACTGTGGCCGTCAATTTAGATTCCTAAATTTTAAGAAAATAATTTTAGAACTAAAAATTCAAAAGTACTGGAGTACACAATAAGCTGTGATTACTGGATGTTGTGTATGTATGCATGTATATATGTGTGTGGTTTTATTTTTGTGCTATGAACTTTTTATGTGCGTTCTTGTAGACATTCAATAGTAACCCGGAAGCAATTTTGTTATGAAAATGTAGACAGATCTCAGAGATAAAAATATATTTGCAAGTAAAGGGAATTATGCAGCTATTTGAAGTGCTGAAGTCTAATAACGAACCTCGTTGGGTAATCAAAAAAATAACTTGAAGTTTGTTATAAGAAAAAAGATAGAAAGTGTAAAGTTGCTTTTTATTTAAGTCAATGAAATTACCTGCGTCTGAAAATTTTGATGATTTTTTTGTTTTAAGATTTTAATGTTTACACACAAAAAATGGAAAAAATGTTCGAAAAAAAAATTTTGGTGAAATCACTTTATTTAGGCCAACTTTCTGATAGCCAGGAATTGATAGTGAAGTCTAATTCGCAAGATTCAGGATTTGAAAGAAATCGAACGTCGCTATAAGGTAAAGTGAAATGGTAAGAGTGATGACAAACTATTTTTGTGGTATACAGATATATTCTAATGATGATCCAACCCGGAATTTCAAACGAAAATGTCACAACCAGGGTAAAATTATTCCTTAAAGTTATCTTTGCGAATTCATGCGAAGGGTCAAAACTGAGAGATCTTAGAACAGCGCGAGTACCTGCTCGAAATCTACCAACCAAAATATCACCAGATCAGCAATCAAATCCAAAAGAAGAAAATAAACTTTCACATTCATCAAGCGGCAGCCGAGACATTTAAAAATTCTTCTTAAATCTGGAAGGGAGAATGAAGCCGCTTGTGACTGATATTCACATTGGGGGAAAAGCGGAGAGGTTCTTTTGACAGCTTATATGTCTGGCTTCATAGCTATTATATAAAACTTTGTCAATTTGAGATAAGAATTGAGATCGAATTCCGTGTAGAGTTGTAAAACTTCCCTTCAGGTTGGGCTATGAAAAAATCTAGAAATTTGTAATTTGCTACACTAATGATTTGGCGGCCGCGTTAGCGGAGTGGTTATCAGTGCGTACTGCCATTCGGAAGGCCAGTGATCGATTTCGTGTCCGGGTGCTTAGCAGAAAGTTCTTTCAGAAGTTAAAATACGCCAATTACATTGCATACCAATGATTTGGTTGGAAGAAAAGAAGGGGAAACCAAATCAAAATACACTATCCAAACTTCTTTTGAGCCATCCTATATTGTGTTTTAGGACAGGCAACCTAAAACCTACAAATCGATCAAAAAAGCCCGATTCTAATGAGGAATTTGTCTTAAGTCACACAGGAACCCAAAACTCAGCGAGACAAAAATTAAAGGGTGAATATTTTTAGATTTACAAATACGGCAACAGATAAAGGATAAGATCTTTGAAGGAAAACTTTATGACCATGAAAAATTGTCTGCTAATGTTTTGTGAATGTTGTCCGAAACTTTCTAGGAAAGTAAATAAATAAATGAACTTACATATGATAATGTCATATAAAGCCTTAGGGGGTAATACGTCATTAGAAATATATATACTGGATTTTCATTTGGGTTTCCTTCCGGCAAACTTGGGCGTTGTGAACCAGCTGAGAGGTTTCATCGTTGCCATAATCAAAAAGAATTATAAAGGGAAATGGTCCTAATTTATTATAAGTTAAGCCAGAAATTTTTTCTGAATGTAAACTTTTTTATATTTTCTGAGAATACATAAATATTAGGTCGAGTAAAAAGTTCGTTCGGTTTTTATCTAAGAGATGGCGTTATTGTCCACAGTACTAGTGTTACGTGTCGCATCATGTCATACTATACGGCACTGGAAACGTGTTTGTTTGCGCTAAAAATTTGTCTTCGACAGTTTTTCGACTGATTGACTCAGTACGTTGTGAGCGCTCGTCAAAGATGGACATCAGCAAAGAGAAAATTCGCTATAGATTACAATTTTTCTTCGATCACGGCGAAAAGCAACCAAAGCGGATGAAAAAATTAATTTAATTTATGGGCCCGATACTGTAAACGAACGTGTAGCACAAAAGTGGGTTGCTAGGTTCCGTTCCGATAATTTCGATGTCAAAGGTGCACCACGTGTCGGGAGGCCTCTCGTCAAATAGCACTTATTAAAATTCTGAGGAACCAAGGATAAGTCAGAAAACCGTTTGAACCATTTGCATAACCTTGGCTTCAAAAAGAAGCTCGATGTTTGGGTGTCACACGAACTAACGCAAAAAAACATGCGTGGCCAAGACCGGATTGGCGGCCAGGAAGGTTTTGCTGTGTGTTCGGTGGGATTGGCAAGGAATCAACTACTACGAGCTGCTCCCCTATGGCCAAACGCTCAATTCGGCCCTCTACTGGTAAGAAAAGAAATGGACCGCTTGAAGGCAGCACTCATCCAGAAAAGGCCATCTTTGATCGCATTGTGTTCTATCAGGCCAAACACGTCTTTGGTGACGCACCAGAAGCTCCAGGAGCTCGGATGGAGGTCTTAATGAACCCACCTTATAGTCCGGACCTGGCACCAAGTGATTACTACCTTTTCCTGTCACTGGCGAGCGCGCTGAATGGTGAGAAGTTGGCCTCAAGAGAGGCCTGTGAAATTGGTTCTCTGAGTTTTTAGCAATAGAGGTGCAGCCTTCTACGGGAGAAGTATAATAAAGTTGGCATCTCGTTGGCTACAAGTTTACGAACGAAACGGCGCATATTTTACTTAAATAAGACAAATGTACACAAAGTTATCATATTTTAAAAAATCAATAAAACCCGAACGAACTTCTTACTTGACCAAATATTTTGATGTCACAATACAACCAAATGTGTACATATTTTTTATATATGTTTTTTCAAATCTTTTTTTACAATAATAATATTTCTTGGGGGTTCTAACACATCTAAATTTGACAGTTGAACAAGAGAATGAGATATGAGGGCAAGCAAGGCGTTGGCACTGTTATGAAATAGACCGTCCACAAGAAAGTGCTTTCGCATTAGTCATGATAACTTTTTCATTTTTATCTGAAACCAAAAAACCAAATTTTTTTCTTAAAGTAGGTGCATTTTCCGTATTCCTGAATGAAGAAAAATTAAGAAATTTAAAATTAGAATTTTTTGCCGCATTTTTACAAAAAACGTTATTTTTTGCCTTAAATTAGGCCAAGAGTTGAAATCAAAGATAAAATAAATTTTTCGTACAGAGACTACAAATACAAGCTTAAAAGAAGTGTGGAAAATATGAACTCGATCGCTTTAATAGTTGTTGGGAAATTTTGACAACCGATTTCGATAAGGTGGTTTTAAGAAGAACGCGTTTAAAGTTCCGCCATCGGCCAAGCCATGACAAGGCCGGCGGGTTATAAAACTCTCTTAATTCTACAGTTTCGTCTCAAACGTCTTGAAACTTGGGGAAAATCTTCCCGACACTTTGTATTTTTATAAAAAAAAATGATCAAAAAAAATGGATTCTTTGGTGTTTCAAGACCTATGCAACCCCTTAATCAACAGTACTCCTATTTGATTTGATTTATTTATTTGATTGAAAATTTGTGAATATTGATTAGCTTATTAAATGTTGTAGACGTGTATTGTTCTGTTCTAACGGAGCCCATTTATTTGTTATTTCCGAGTATATACGAGCAGGGTTGCCAGCTAATTGAAATTAGTTTGAAGTGTATGAAAATACCACAGTATGGGTACCATCTGTATGATTCGTAGTTGAAATCTCTTTTGTTTCAAGATATTGGAGAATATGGTTGCCACTTTGTTTTGGTACTTGGTTGTGCTTGACATTCCAATGTAGTCACTTAGGGCTGCCACTTAATTGATATCAGTTTAAACTAGCGTATTGTATACCACATTGAGTATTTGGAGAATATACTGTAAGAATAATATATAATAAACCAATTCAAAGTAAAAATTTACTGATGAAGCTAAGGATACAAAAATTTTTACACAATTCGTTGGCCGAAG